GCTCATCTCCTTGGTCTGGGCATGGTTCTTCATTCCAGAAGTCGCCGGTCGTTCTTTGGAAAGTATGGAAGAAATCTTCAACTTGCCATGGTACCTTATTGGAAGAAAAGGAGCACAGTTATGTCCAGATTACTCTGAGATTAACAAGATTACATATAGCGATGATGGCCATGGTAATGCCTACGATGGTGAAATTAATTATGATTTAGAAAAGTCTAAGCCATCTCAAGAGTATGTCGAAGACAACAGACTAATGAAAAAAGATTCAAACGAAGAAGATGATAAGTCCATCAAGGAAAAATCTTAACGTGTACAGCTTGTTGGTCAGGATGGGGTTAATAGTTTAGGTATTTAAAGTTAATACTATATTGTATTAGATGAATATTGTAATCTACCTTCGAACCAGTAACTATACTATAAAATTTCTAATATACAAAATTATTCTTTTGTCCTCTTATTTGTGGTCTGATTTTTGTTTACCATAGGACGCTTTTGTCCCAGTTTTTCCACAGTAGGTTTTTGAGTATTCACTGTTTTACTCGACAGATTACTTCTGTCAATGGAAGGGCGATGGACTGTTAAAGTGGATTCTGTGAATTGATGACCTAAAGGTAATTTAGGTCGTTCTTGACCTGTTGGGGACTGCGCGGAATCTTGAGTCAAATTTGGTGTAGCTGGAAGAGATGAGACTGAAGATCTTTTGGTTTCATCAGTAGATGTATTATTAGAGGGCAGAACAGACAGATCCTTTAAGCGATTTCCTTCTAACTTATCTAATTTTTTGTTTAGCATTCTTAATTTGATCTCAAACTTTTTTTCTGTTACGTTCTTAACATCTTCCTTAGCTTGGTTTAATTGGGCATCGAAGTCTTGTTTTAACTTAGAGATTTCTACTTCATGTTGTTTTAATAATTCATCCCGTACATGATTTGTATCTCCATTTGTTTCGCCAGATGTCATTTTTCTTGAAACTTCCTCGTCCACTTTTTCTTTCAAATTTCGTTCGAATCTTTCTCTTAACTCATGTTCTAACTGAGACTGTCTTTCTTGGAATTTCTTTTCTAATTCAGCATTCTTTTCTTCAAATTCCGACTCCAATTTAATTCTTGTTTCATCTTCCTTTTCATTCTTCTGGTTATCAAGAACGATTTTATTAACCTTAGCTAATTCTTCCTTCAATCTTTGGTCAAATTCATCTTCAATTTTCTTTCTTAATTCAACCTTTTCATTTTCAAATTGAGCTTTCAAATTATGCAATTGTTCTTCGAACTTTTTATTCGAATTTCCTGATTCTAAATTATCAATCTTCAGTTTCAAACTTTGCAATGTACTTTCGAGCGATTCTTTCTCCTTCACTAAAGATTTAATTCTATCTTCAGATTCCTTCTTTAGTAGACTGTAACTTTCGTGCACACTAGCTATTTCATTAGAAGTATCACTAATTTTTTCATTCTGCATAGCTTCATTATTTCTTTCCATATCAGATCTGGAATTTGCTAATTCAACCTTTAATGACTCAACTGTTTTTTCCAATTCTTTAGTTTTACTTCTATGGGCCAGAAGCTTATTCTGAAATTCATTTTTGAGATTTGTAAATCTTTGTTTCATAGCTTTGATATCTTCTACCTCTGATTCTGCGACATCACGACCAGCGTTAGATTCAAGATGTGATCTATTCTTTTCATTTTCTTCCTTGATTAACCTTATCGTTTGCTCTTTAACTTCATTTTGCATCGATAACTCAGATATCTTCTTCTCCAATGGTTCTAACTTTAACGCCACAGATTGTAACTCATTTTCCAAGTCTGAAATACGTTGAATATTAACTGCATTCTCATTACGTAAGGTAGTATTACTTTCTCGCAAAATATTCAACTGCTGTAATTGGTCTAACAAGCGATTATGTTCTTTATTATTACCATCAGTTACATTGATATTTGACCGTAATCTGGATAACTCAGATTTCGTGGCTTCTAATTCTGAAGTTACTTGCTTTAAGTGTTGTTCTAGTCTTTGGTGATCTTCAGTATAAGAAACCAATTTTGCCTCTGCAGAATCCTTCTCACGGCGCAAATATGATACTACTTCCCTCAAATCATCATTAGAGGATGTTTCAGATACATCTGAGGTACCCGCCAACTTGGATAACTCCAACTGATTTAATAAGACATTATTTTGATCCTGTAAATCCTTCACTTTGAGCCTAGAAGAAACTAGCTCATCATGAAAACTTTGCTTTTCTTCTTCTATTGATTCATTTTTCTTATCCAAAAGAATCTGTGTTGAGTTCAATTTGGTTGTCAATTGGCTTACGTTGGTTTCAAGATTATCACATTTGTTCTTCAAAATATCTACTTCGTTTGTTAATTCACTGTTCCTCTGTAATTCATCGCGATATTTCTTTTGATTTTCGCTAGAAATCTTCGACTGACTTTCCATATCTCTAGTTACAGATTGAATTTTAAGTTCGTAGTCCTTTTTTAAATCATCATATGCATTAGCTTTCATTATTGATTCTTCAATCTTCAACTTGAACTCTTCAGCTTCAGTACGATATTTTTTCTCAATATCAATTGTTTCTTGCTTAGATTGATTGAGTAAGCGGGAGTAGTTATCAAGTTCAGACTTCAACAATTCCTTTTCTTTCAATAGGCTATCAAGCTTACTTTCACACTCAGTCTTATAGTTTTCGAATGTATTAGTCGAGTTAGTTAATGCAAGTTCAGCAGCTTTAGCCAAGTCTGAAAATTCAGAAACTTGACTCTCGGCGATACGTAAATCATTCCTAGTTCTTTCTAATTCCTTTTCATAGTTCTCGCTTAATTGGTTAGGATGATCACTATGTATAGATGGGTTCTTAAATCCCTGTAGGGTATTTGTTGAGGAATGTGAGTCCTCTAATTCTTCGGCTTTTCGAGTCAAATTTTCAATCAATGAATTCTTTTCGGCTATTTTATTCTTGTAATCCAGTAATGCTTGGTTAAGCTCATTAATTTGTTCTAACTTGGAATTTTGGGCTCTCAATGCTAACTGTGATTGATTGGTTAAAATTGATATTCTTTCTTCTTTTTCAGAAAGTTTGTCCTGTAAAGTTTGATAATTTTCAATAGATTGTGCAAGTCTGTTAGATAATTCTTTACTCGATGTCTCTCTTTCTTTTAATAATGATTGTAAATTTACAACAAATTCATTGAGATGGGATTTGTCAGATCTAAGTTGCACTATATCGTCATTCATTGTTTTTTGATACAGGTGCCACATTTCTTTCTGGGTATTCAAGTTATTTATAACCAAACGTTCTTCATTTAGCTTATTCTCAACATCTTTTAATTCATTAGATTTATTAACAAGCAAGGTCTCTTGCTTTGATGCTTGATTCTTCCAGAATTGAATGTCCTTTTTATATTGATCGATTTCCTCACGGGCATTTGCTAAGGATTTCTGAGAATTCGAAAACCTAGCCTCTGCTAAGTCGGCTGAATGTTTCATAGATGACAAACTTAAAATCAATTCATTCTTGCTATTAGTTGTCTCTCTTAGCTTATCATTAAACTCCTTGAGTGCAGTACTTGACTGCAATTGCAAATCTTTCAATATCTTCTCGGTTTCGTGTAGCTTAGCTTTGAGGTCATTATTCGCGTCAGCCAAATACTTAAATTCACCTCTAGGCCCATTATTAGTAGTAGAGTCAACCATTGATTTGAAAACATCTCTTTCTTTAGATACTGCTTCTAATTTAATGTGGACGCTATCAAGTTCATTCTCTAAGGTTAAAATTGCTTCTTTCGCTTCATCAATTGCAGCCGATTCCAAACCGCCGTTGAAATCATCATCTTTACTTTCTAATTTCTTGCCTAATTGCCTAACTACTGTAAGAAGACCTTCATTTTTTTGTTGAAGTTCTATTATGTTTGCGAAACCGACTAGTCTATCAGAAATTAATTGGTCAGTATCACTCTCTTTCAAACCATCATTATTACCACTTCTTTCTAAAATATTTTCAATAGCTTTTCTTTCCGCTAAGGTAAGTGGATCTTCGTTACTATCCCTGATCTTTGAGTGTATAAGGTAATAACACAATTGTTTTCCCAAGTCCTTGCATAATTTTTTCATTGAGACCAAGTCATTATTGTATTCGGCAAGTCTTGATTTCAACTTATTATACTCCTTCTCGCCTTCTAATTTTTCTAACCTTATTGACTCGACTTTACCGATCATTTCCTGGAGGGAGTTCTCATAAAATTTGATTTGATCAGAATAGTTCGCAATTATAGGTTTCTTTGATTCTAATTCTGTTACAAAAGACTCCAATTGGTTTGCTAATCTTTCTTTTTGAGATCTTTCTAACACCAATTGCTTCTTTAAATGATTATATTCGGAGTATAACGACGACAAAGATATGCCATCCGTTTTTGTAGATGAAATCATTTCTGCAGATACAGATAATTTTGGCAATTCAGTTTCCTTATGCAATTCTTTATCCAAAACGTCTTCAGTTCTTCTTAGTTTCTCTTCTAAAACAACGATAGCTTCATTCTTCTTAAATAAATCGGTTTCCAACGCGTTAATAGATTCTCCTAACTTATTCTTGATTTCATCAATGTATGATTCGAGTTGACCTATCCTTTCATTTCTTTGAGATGATTGAACTTGGGTTAGTTCTAATAATTCTTCTTTGTTCTTCAATTCTTTGCTTATCTTGATTTTCTCAATTTCAAGCTTGGACTCTAAAGATGAAGCCTTCGATATTTCTTTTTCCAAATCATTCTGTAACGCATTAATATGGTCTGCTTGTGATTTATTTAATCGTTCTAACGTTTCATTCTTAGTTGTTAAACTAGATAACTTGTTAGATCTCATTAAAAATTCTGTTTCATGTTTTTTTATTAAATCGGTGAATCTTTGTTGAACAGATTTCAATTCCTCTTCATACCACTTTCTTTGATTCTTAACATATGAAATTTCATTAGAAAGCTTACTGGTTTCTAGTTTTAATGAGAATTTTTCGTTTCTAGTATCATTAAGCTCCTTAATCACTTCATTTATCTTTTGATTTTGTTCTATATTTGTTTTGGTTAATTTGTTCAACGAATCATTTAGCTTTAAGATTTCTTGGTCTCTTTCCCCAATCTGATCAGAATAGTTTGAATCATACTTTTTAGACTGAAGCTCGATTTCGGATAATTTATTCCTTATTGCAGTATTTTCATCTCTTAATTCATTGATGGTCTTAATTTGGATTTCTTTTTCATTAGACAATGTATCTCTTTCCTGTTTCAATATTGCATTCTGCTTATCAAGCTTATCTAATTTCAGACTCACCAACTTAGACTTCTTATTTTGTATCAGTATGGCTTGTTCTTGATTTATCTTTAAAAATTCATTATCCGACTTCAATTCTTGAAATTCAATGGATTTCTTGTGTAATTTACTGATGACTTCTACACTGAACGAATTCAAGTCTTGTTGATTAACACCTAAAAATGCACGAACAACAGATTTCTCTGTATCCTCATTGCCATTCTCCTGATGTACAGTGTTGTTGACATTTGGATAATCCTCATCTCGTTCCAAATCCATATTTGTATTCTTATGGGTGATAAGAGGTGAACTAGATACATTTGGGGCATTAATATCACTATCCTTTGCAACACTGAAAGCCTTAGGAGTAGTTATTGGCTCGATATCTTTCAAAGGTGGCAACGACTTCAGTGGAGTAGTAAAGCTCTGGTTAGATTGAGGTGGATGTAAAATCGAGGTATTTATATCGTCTTCATTCTCTTGTTCCTCTTCGTGATGGTCCGTTTGCTGCTCATGTTGCTGAACTGGTTCTTGATTGATGTGATCTACTGTCTCTTGGTTTTCTTTTTGCTGTTCTTGTGTCTGTTGGTCTTGATTTTGTTGACCCTGGCTTTCCAGATAGTGGTCCTGGTGATCCAGCCCGAATCCAGGAACCAAAGGCACCTCATTTTCTTGGTTTTCAGTGGTTAAGTTGACCTGTGGAATATTACTGTTTTCCTGGTCAAGTGGCTCCCAGTCCATGGGCCCTGTACCAAATTCTGGGGACTCGTCGGCTCCCAAATCGCCAACATTGGTTTGTTCATTCATTTCCCCAGACTCCTCATTCGTCTCCTCCAGATTTAAATCATTTACGTCTCTATGAACAATTTCTCCTGTTTCGTTTGTTTCCACTGGCTGCTGCTCTGGATTATTTTGGACGTCGTCTCCAGCCACCAGCTCTTGCACTTCCTTATGATTGTCACTCATGCTAACAAGACGTAATATCTCGATCCAGATATTACAATTCCGTCTAGTCTATCTGTGTCAGCAAATGACTTACAAATACAATTGATGTATATAAGTATACCTCTGTACTAGAGACTTCGAAAGCTACTGTCAATTAAGCGCTAGCCAGCCGAGTATTGTTGTGCGACATCCAGCGACAACACGAGACATAATCCCGACAATGTCGTCGTGATATTCTATACGACATGATGCAGCTTATCACGACATCTTATGTCGTACCGAGAATTGGTCTATCTCACCGTCACCTATGTGGAGGGCTTTAGCCCCGTGCTTATATAATCATAAATGATGAGAACAAATTCGGCCGCCGTCGGTTTGTGTAACAAAAATCCCGAGGGATTCGTTCTACTCAGAGCACTGGGAAAACAAAATTTTTCATTAATCTTGTACTCAAAAGATTCGATTATACATTAAAGTTAAGATATCACATTAATTGCTAATAAAGATGATTGAACCATCCTTAAAGGCTTTAGCTTCCAAGTACAACTGTGAGAAATCTATCTGCCGTAAATGTTACGCTAGATTACCACCAAGAGCTACCAACTGTCGTAAGAGAAAGTGTGGACACACTAACCAATTAAGACCAAAGAAGAAGTTGAAATAGATTATGTGGTTTATTACTGTATTACTATATGCTGTCGGGTTGGATTTGTAATTATCGAATGGTTTTGAATGGCCAGAGATTATAATAAGAGAAATGATTGTGGTGGTTTAAAAAGTCGGTATGGCAAACGACAGTCAGGATATACGTTATTCATGAGTAAATATATTTAGCTTTGTCAATAAAAATCTTACGTTTTAGAGATGAAAAGAAATCCCAGGGCTGATCAGGAAGTGGCGTTGTGAGTGAACAGATGCACGTTCCGTTACATGTTGAAAACAAGAAATGAGACCATGCACCTCAAGCCAGAAATGGGATAATGTAGAATTCAGATGAAGATTTAGAAATTTAGATGTAGAAATCAAGTCGTTAGAACAACGTATATGTAACATTTGAAACAGAGATGAACGATCAGTTGTGCGGAGTTATCGCAAAGCACTAGGATACCTCACAGTAAGCTATTCTTGTAATACTGGTCCAAGAATCAAGATTATTATATTTTTGACTTACACCA